GAGCCTGTGCTTCCCTACCCCCCCCCCCCCCCCCCCACCTAAAACATGATAATTTCTCAGAATTACTGGCCATATAGACATTTTAAATGAGATCTTCTACGACACTACGATGAAACTGCCTACTACTCTTTCGCGCCTTTCTCAAATGCCTGCTTAACTTCGAAGAAACGACTTCATAACACTACAGAAACTGAGGCATTTGCCTCTTTTTACTTTTACTTTCTTTTTCAAGCCTTAATTAAACACTTACTATAGCCAAAAATATCGCGTTCAACAATTTTATTTATCGTATATTGTTTGAAAATTATGGATAAAATTCAAAGAAAAATTTCAAAGAAGAAAAGTGAACCTTCTACCCCGGCCCCTCACATGCCACACTCGTCAAAAAACACTTCCTATGTCCTAAGTACACTACTTGTATCTGGAGAGAAACTTCAAAAGACAGTTTTTGATAACTCTATCATGCATTTATTGGTGTCACTAGCACTAGTGCAAAAAACCACGACTTCATGGAGCAAACAAAATGTGTAAGTAAACTACCTGACGAAACGAAACAATCGCTCCTACTCTCACCTACTATCTCAACATAATCATATTCAATCAACAACTTGTGCAAGGAAATAATAGTTTGGTCAGTAATGGGAAAAAATCACATCTAGAGAGAGAAAGAGAGAAAAAAAAGAAGAAAGAAACGAAACGAAGACCAAAAACAAAAGGTAAAACACAATCAGAACTGGCACAGACTTTCACGCCCGTCATTCGACTGACAACTAAAATCAGTCAATCAGAGCTGAGCTTTCGTAGGCTATATTAAATTAAATTTGTGACTTCATCTCTGATAGGCTGATTTCAGTGAACAAATCGAATGGCTCCCCAGACAGCCTGTCCCACTTTGTAAGCAGCAGTTACGTCTCCATTCAAGGACAGCTGGGTTAGTCACAGATAAACAATTAATGTAAGCGATCCAGGGAAAAGAGTCCGATGGCTAAGCTTACGTTCAGCTACCGGATGATAAAGTTCAAAAGAAGACTTAAATGATGACAATTATGTTAATAATATGGAAAGTAATAATATTGAAAGTAATAATAATAATAATAATATCAATAACAACAACAACAATAATAATAATAATAATAACATTAACAACAACAACACCCACCTCCCCAGTAACAAGAAGACAAACGTGAGACTCACCTGGAGCGCGGGGCGGACACCACACTGGCACTTTCCAGCCCCTCGTCGTCGGAGAGCGGTGCGGGCTGCAGGAAGTTGGAGGGCACCAGGCCGTGCTGACCGTTGACCTCGCCCGTGAAGAAGCCGTCCTCGTCCATGTCGCCGTAGATGAGCACTGTGTCACCGGTCTTGAAAGACAGCTCCAGCTGATTGGGGGGAGGAGGGGGAGGGGGGGTGGAGATACAGGTGGCTTTTGGTGGGATGGTTTTTTGGGTTATGTTGAGTTTTGTGGCATTTGTAATATAATTTAGAGCATGACAACTATCATGTGTTTAAAAAGATTGCGGTGGCTGGGCCATGTCAAGAGAATGGACGACAACCGGATTCCGAAGCAACTTCTCTATGGAGAACTTGCCCAGGGAAAGAGACCAAGAGAAAGACCAAAATTGAGGTACAAAGACACCTGCAAAAAAACAGCTTATCTAAGCTTGGAGTAGATGTTAGCATCTGGGAAGAAATAGCTAAAGACAGTTAGAACATGGAGGAAAATGATAAAGGAACGAACTATAATGCTAGAGAGCAGCTTTAGAAACAACCAGGCTGAGAAGCGCCAACGACGAAAGGAAAACAGCGGAAATACAGAGCTTCGATCTACGTCACTGACATGCAAGCACTGCGACAGAATCTGCGCTTCAAACATAGGAAGAATTAGCCATGAAAGAAGCTGCACGAAGAAAACCTTGAGACCATCTTAAGCTAAGCTAAATTGACCGTCTGCATAGACGAAAAGAGCCATATTATTATAATTATTATTATGTCATATAATCATATAATAACTTGGGTGGGTTTTTTGTTGTTGTTCCACTTTCTGAAAGTTTTAGTACGAGTTTTAGGGCACTTGCAACACAATTAGGTTATATTATGATAAGGGCAGGGTTTTAGTAAGGTGATTTTTGTTTTTTGTTTTAAAGTTTTAGTCAGAGTATTACAGATCTTGCAATATAATCACATGCCTAAGTTTAGAGGTTTTACAAGAGAGTAACGTAGACAGAAAAGAAGGAAGAGAGATTAAGGATGATAGATGTTTGATAGGCAAGAAGGAGCAAACCACACCAGAGGACCAGCCAGCCACCCACTGTTTTTTTTTTTTGGGGGGGGGGGAGAAGGGGGTAGAGACTGACCTCTGCATCCACGTTTGGTGAGAGTTCCTGCGGGTCGTAGTCGTACATGGCGATCATCTTCCTCATGGGTCCCTCCCGGGGCACGCTGACCACGCCGTTAGGAGTAAGCTGTCCGTCGCTCAAGGCGAGCTGTCCGTCGCCCAAGGCGTCTGCTGGGACAACAGGCGGGATGCTGGCCACTGAAATACACGGACGGGGTGGTTGTTTTAGTAAAAGTTTTGCGGCATTTACAACACAATCTTCTATTACTATTACCTATTTGTGGTGGCCGAATTTTGCTATTCAAAAGGCTTTTTAATGGCTGCAACGATCGACATGCGGTTTTCGCCAAAAGATTCTTTAAAATATTCTCCAGAGCATGACGCCCTTGGTTTTTTTCAGTTTTGAGACAGTTTTGCTGCAAAAAGCTAAATTTCTTTATTTCGCCGATCGCTTTTGTAGGCCGACGATTCTGTCTCTGTAATTTTAGTAAATCCGGAAGTGACATTTCACGGGTCGCATTTTGTTTTGAGAGTATAAATCTAGACCTTATAATTTTTTGCATCTGTCAAGATTTATTGCCCCATTCCAGTAGAGCGTAAATATAGTAGGCCAATGACTTTTAGTTGATATTAAAGCACCGATCATTCCTTTCATCGAAAGGGGGCACGGCTAGCTAGGTTATTTGTGAGGCAGCGTGGTGGAATCAGGCTCTCGTCAAAATAATCAAAAAGAAGAAACTTACATTTTTACGCAGGTTTGTGAATTTTTATCAGATTTTTGTTTTTTTGGCTCAACACTTTTCATGCCCATTAAATAAGTCATTTCTGTATGAATTTTGCTGAAAAACGTTGATTAAAGGCCCCAAAAATGTAAAATTTCAGTTACCACTGACTCTTAAACTAAGGAATTAGCTAATCTTTTGCGGCCATTTTTTCACTAATTTTACACCTGGAAACAGGTGACCCCCCACGTCCTTCGTTGGCAAATATCTCGACTTGTATTCAAGATAAATGGATATAAAAAAAAAAAATCAAAATAAAGACAAGTGAACATGCTTTAAGATTATACCAATAACTCTACATGCCCAAACATTGACGAGAGCCTGATTCCACCATGCTGCCTCACATATAGGTCAAGCTGGAAAACAAATTATAAATGTTATTAGAATTATTTTACTTTTACCCAACAAAAACCACATACAAAAAAATTAGAAAAGGACACAATAAAGATCATTTAGACGGAGGCTGGCTCCTTGAGTTTGAGTCTGAACAAAGAGAAACACATCGACACAAAGAAGGTCATTTAGCGCAGAGAAGAAGAAAGATAGACAGACAGAAACAACAGACGGAAAGTAAAGAAGTAGGACCTATTAGTGGTGCTCCCCCCCAAAAAAAAAACGGCCCACCTAGCTGGCTGCTTCGTTTCTTTCAATGTCGTTAGAGAGACATTTGGGTAAGGGTGAAGAGACGATTGATTGATGATTGATTGGGTAGATGTTTTACGGCACTATCGACACAATTTTGGTCAGGTGAAGAGACGCACATCGTCACGAGAGTAGCCATTCAGTCAGTGCTGGGAAATAGCGAGATAGACAGACAGACGCAGACAGACAGACGCAGACAGACAGACGCAATAGAGGAAAGAAAAGAAGTAGGACCTACAAATGGTGCCATCAAAACACCCACAAAATAAAAATTGTAATTGTAAATACTTCACACCCCCCCCCCCAATAAAAACTAAAACAACAACAAAAAATAAAACAAAAAACAACAACAACAACAACAACAACAAAGAAACAGCAACAAAAATAAAAAATAGGCCCAATAAAGATCGTTTAGTCCGACAATGTGTCTTTTGTGTGATTATGCATATGCAACTGTGGATTATCTGCTCTATTCCACTGCACAGCTATACCTCTCTCTCCGAGACCCAACATTGACGACACATTTTATGGAACATTACATCAACTGTGGCAAACTTGTACCCCCCCCCCCCCCCTCCGGGGCAGTGCCACTGACTGAAGTGTCTTTAAGCCATTCCCATAAGGGGGACATTTCTCGTTCAAGCATAGTAGAATTGTAAATGGGCTGACTCATGTCACGTTCATAACTGTGCCTGATCTCTGACCTACAACAGGGAACTGCTGCTTTTTCTTTCCTGATCCTTACTATTGTCATTTTCCTCTACTCCTTTTGTATGTTTGTCACTCTCTTGTGACCTGCTATTTTGGGGTGCCTTGATAGTCGAAGCAGACCATATGCTGTTGAAGCTAGAGGGGTGAGCAGAGTAAGTCTGATTCCCTGTAAAGACTTCTCTGTTGACACCCACCCCTTGGCGCTCATGTGACGTTATGCAGTTGCGAGCGCCGTAAAACCCTTTACTATAAAAAAAACACAAAAAACTTGAACTTATCACTGCATGGCATTGGAGAGAAGGGTGAGGGCCCCGTCGTTTTATGCAAGAAAAATTCTGCAATTATGTAAACTGAGCCAAAAAATGTGAAATTATGCGATTCTGTTAATTTTTGAAATTTTTGAATGATAAAGGAAAATAATCAGATATTATGCAAAAAATGATCAAATTGTGCTAAATTATGCGGGGTGCATAAACCACGGGGACAGGTTGTTGCAGGACGGAAAACAACAACAACAACAACCACGACGACGACAACAACAACACCCGGTGGTAGCATCTCTTCGGGGAGAATTCAGGGAGGTTGGACTGCCTCACCCGCTACCCAAGGGAGGCGGTGGCCCTGGCGAAGAGCACGCTCTTCGGGGCTCCGAACATTTCGAACGGATAGGCTACCACACACAACAACAACAATAGATCATTTAGAGGCAAGCGAGTTGCTTCGTTGTTGCATGTCCCAGCAGAGAGACGTAGCCAC